ATGCTGTATATCGCTGGACAGTCCGTTCTCAGAGCATTAGAGCATTCCGCAGGGATGGGCGAGTTTTAGGGCGGCAGGGCAGGGTGAGCAGGGGCGCGCCGCAGGGGCAGCCAGGGTGGACACCACCTCGGGCCAGCCTGGATTTGGGCCCAGGCACGTGCGAAATGTCCGATGCTGCAGTAAAAACCCCGATGCTGTACTCCCGAGAGCAGGCGGCCAACGACGCAGAATGCCGTGTCGCAGTCGGCCGGGCGGGCGCTCACTGCACGGTCAGCATCTCGCTGGCGCCCGCGCCATGGGCGTGCTGCAGCCGCTCGAACAGCGTCACCCCCAAGCCCCCCTTCGCGGCCTCGTCGCTCAGCACAGTGGGCGGCAGCCTGGGATTCCGGGTTGGGAGGAGGGGGGCAAGATCATCGCGTACGAGTGTGGGACGCATCTCGCGGAGATGGTGGGTAAGCTGGGGCCACGCCATTGCGCGGCGCGGCGGCAGGGGCGGGTAATTAGCAGTACAGAGTGGGTCGAGGGCAGGGAGCGAGGGTTGATGGGCAAGCGGCCACGCCAGGGCGGCCAGAGCGCTGGTGAGGGATAGTGCAAGGCCGGCCTCCCCCTGCCACGCGGGATGGTGCACTTCGCGCTCCAGGCACAAGGTCAACCCTGGCACGACGCCACTGGGCCGGGTGCGCGCCGGTGGCCGCGCCAAGGACGGCGGCGGCGGCGGTGGCGGCCGCGGCCCGCGGCGCAGCATGTGCGACCGGTTGAGCAGCCGAGGTTCCACGAGAGCGGCAGCGGGCAGGTGCCACCCAATCGGAAGGGGGTGGGCAGGACTTCTGGAGGCAGGCGTGTGGCTCACTGCAGGTGGTCCCCCGCTAGCACGGCGCGGCCTGCCAGCAGCAGCGCGCTCCAGCAGGCCGCCTCCAGTGCCTGCGCCGCCTCGTCAATCACGGCCACGTCAAACACCTGGCAGAGGTGGGGGCGGCGACAGGGGTTGTGTATGGGTCGATGTCGTCGATGAGGTTGCTGGGGCGGGGTTTCAGAGAAAGCACGCATGTGTGCATGTGTGTGCGAGTGCTGCGCGTGCACGCACGCACGCACTTGCCTGCACAAACACACACACACACGCACACGCGCGCGCACGTGCGCAAACACGCATGCATGCGTGTGCAAACTCGCATGCACACGCGTGCGTGCGCAAACACACATGCACACTCATGTGCACACTCACACAATAAAACGCACAGACAGCGACAGTCAAACAAGGGGAGCAACAATTGTGTGTCAACCAAACGCAATAGGGGCCTCAAATGGCCGGCCTGGTGGGACGGGGCGACATGTGTGGCTCCTGCATACCTGACCGTAGAGCTGCGGATGCAGCGCCCCAGACAACGTGCAGCAGATGACCTGAGCGCCGCCAATCACCTCCTGCGTTGGTGCGCATGCCACGGAGAGTGGTGGCCGGAGTCGTTAGCGCACGCATTGCTCTATGCGGGGTGATGCAGGCTGTTTTGCACGCACGCGTGTGTGGTCATGTTGCAGCTGTGGTATGCACACCCCTGATGTCGAGCCCTGCCTGCACTTGCTTGCAACCCTCGAATCCTATAGGTGGAAAATCATTGAAGCCAGAAACCATTGTTGCCGGATAAGCGGTTGATGTTCACGCACACCAAATCGTGCCCGTGGAACACACACATGCACACACACAGATACACATACACATATACATACACCACCACCATCATCATCATCATCATCCAGCACGCCCCCCACCTTGACGGCTTTGTCCTGCCTGGTGCGCTCCTCCTTGTAAAGCTGCTTCAGCTCACCCCTGATCTGGCGCCTCTCAGCACGCTTCCACCCCTCAAGCTTCACAAGCTGCGTGTTGAGCGCCTTGATCTCCCTGGGGGGAAGGAACGGATAGCATGGTGGTGTGTCACCAGCGGATGACGCAGCAGGGGGATGGCGTGGACTAAGGTTTTGGGTGGGAGGTTGTGGTGGGCTGAGGGTGGGGTGCAGGGTGCGTATGGGCTGGCTGCAGCAGCGCAGCGCAAGGGTGAATGGGGAGCGCGGGCTGTGCCAACAGGCAAGCGGGGCAAGTGGGACGACGAGGAGTTGCGGCACTCCCGCCGCTGCAAGTATGCACTATGTATCTCGCGCGCGCACTTGCGGCAGTCCTTTGCCAGGGAGCTGTTGTCGCTCTTGAGCACCTGAGCCTCCAGGCTGCTGTCTAGGACCTGAGGGGGTGCAGGGGTGCAGGGGTGATGGGTTTAGTGGGAGGAGGGGGGCACGCCCGTCGAGAGCAATTAGTACGCACATATAAATGAGTCAGTGGTGTCTCAAGGGTTTGGACAAGCCGACGCGAAAAAGAGGGGCGGCTGCAGCGTGGCGTCATGTATCTTGCGTTAAGGGGCAGCTTCGCATACTGGAGCGGGGCCAGCCGCGTCCATCATGCGTTGACGCATGGTGCGGCCGGCAGCTGCGTGGAACGACGCGGCGGCCCCGGTGGACTCGGACCCTCAACCCTGGCCCATCGGAAGGCGCAGCACATGCGCAGTGCACGCGGGCCCGTGACTGACAGGGCGCCGCACACATGCGGGTGGCGCGGGCGCGCGCGCATGCGCACGCACCTGGGGCAGCAGCCGCGCGGGGTGGCCGAGGCGCAGCAGCTTCAGCTTGGGGGCCGCGGCCACCAGGCGCTCAACTAGGTTGTCCACCTGGCGGGTTGTCGGAGCGGATATTCTGATTGTTTGGGCCAATTATTGAAGGAGGGAGCTGCCGTGCTTGCGCAGCCAGGGAGGGAGAGGGAGAGGGAGAGGGAGAGGGAGAGGGAGAGGGAGAACAGTGCTGCGAGCCATAACCACCGCCTGCAGCAAGCGGGGCACGCCCATGCCCCCAACGTCAGGGGCCGGCCGCCGCCCGCCGCGGCGCGTTCGCCCTGGAGTGCATGCATGGTCCCTGCCACATTGATTGTTGCGGCTGTCGCCTTGTTTGTTGCAGAACCCGTGCCTCACATCAGCAGCGGCCCCTGACTCCATGCCCCTACCCCTCCGCCAGTAACACCAACCACGGAGGCGCACCGCTATGTTGGACGCGGCGGACGCTATCACCCTGCTGCCGCGCGCGACCTCCTGCAGGATAACCTCCACCACCGCGGTGGTCTTGCCGGTGCCTGGCCGGGGCGGTTGCAGCGGTTGTGGCTGTTGTCGCGGTTGCGGTAGTTGTGAGGCCGCGGGAGGGGGGTTTTGGAGGGAGGGAGGCTGGGCAGGGACGAGGCGCTGCTGACTGAGGCCAGCGAATGAGGGGAGGGCAAGTGCACCCAGGGAGAGGAGGCAGGCAGGGGATTGGGCGTTGTTCACGCGAGCAGGCTTGGAAGGCCGGTGCCGCGCGTCTGGCAGGGAGGGTCGCGCCTCGAGGCATGAGCCGCGACGTGCTCCTGCACGCCCCTTGCTCTGCGACCCATCGCTGGGCCAGTGACACGCTAGGTGTCCACTACTCGGACCCTCTGCTCGGCCCACACACACACATACACACACACACAAACACACACACACACGCTCGTGCACGCGCGCGCAAAAACACGCACCCGGCGGCCCGTGTATCAACGCCACGTCGTGCGCCCGCAGCGCCAGCGACACCGCGCGGCGCTGGCTGGCGTCCAGCCGCGCGTTGACCGCCTTCCAGGGCGGCTCGGCCGCCGCGAACCGCGGCTCCTTTCCACCGTACGCGACCTCGGCGAGGCGGCGCCCGGGCAGCTGCCGCTGCTGCTCCGAGGCGCCGGGGGCGGCCAGCAGCTGCAGCGTCGAGCGGAGGCGCTTGTAGGTCACCTGGGGCGCGGGCGCCGCGGCGATGCGGCGGACGGGAGGGGCGGGGGGGGCACGTAGGAGGG